GCTTCGCCGGGGAAAAGGGATAATCTCATCAAGTTTCTTAGAGATGAGTGCTGTTACATAAGTGGTGGCAAGATTATCTTGACAACTACCGATGAACATGTTTATTTCGTTACATAATCATTTTGAGTAATTATATTAAACAGATTGAAATGCGAATATCCATTCCTCTGCAGAGCATGTTAAGATAGATGACAATGAAATGCTTGGAATTTTTTTTTACTATTCTCAGATATAAAAGTTGAGAAGATGTGAGAAAATTGGTTTTCTGTAAATGTTTTATTCATAGCTGCATTTTCTTGAAGTGATGTTATAAGCAAGACAGAATATAAATAATTTAACGCTTTAAAACTCGCTTGTCATTTTTATACTTCGCTTCTGTTCTGACTGTTAATTTTATCCTTTTATCGAATTCCGCACTACCTCCAAAGTAAATACCATTCACGTTCAGTCATTGTAGCAGACCAGGTTCACCACAAAGATTATAAAGAGTAATTCCGAATTAATGTAAGTTTTGTAACGAATTTTATATTCATTCATTTGTCATTAATAAATTTTAGCAAATTTGTAACATTTTAAATAATTCACGGTCTGACAATGTCCAGTTGTTGAGGGATTGTAGGGAGTGAAACTAATCCATTGAAAGCGAAACATGGGAGTAGGCACTGAACGGAAATGTTGAAGTGTTATTTTAACAATCCTGTCGTCAATCAAAAATATTACAGTCCAACTCGAAACGTTGGACTGCGAACTCAAGATTGCGTTCTTTCAACGATAGTGATTAACACCAGAATCACACCAAGAAATGGGTTGAACTTATTAAGATTTCTACTTCAGAATTGAACGAATACTCATTTTCTATCTCTCGGTATCACGATGTTCAAACTATAGTAAGTATACTGAACGACAAATTGAATATTGGCCCTGAAAACTCTGAACCTGGACCTAGCTTCTCGCTTAAATTCGTTCTATCGACGTCTCCAAATATTCCCTATTGAAAACCTGTTGTACTTTTAATTAATGAATTTTAGGTAGTTTTAGGTAATAAAACAAAAGAATCGGTATTACACGCAGACTTGTCTTGTCCGTACATACATCTAATGTTTATGAACGCAACACGGAAGAGATTGCCGATGTTGTAGTACGATTGTTTTTCCTTGGATTTTGATGGTAAAACGGCATGATTGTTTAATTGTTAAATCAAGAAATTAGTTGATTTTAAAAGATAAACTGAGCATTTGAGGAATACTAACGGTGATAACAGTTCATTGTCGAAACGGTAAAACCTGAAATAAAACCACGCGAATCATTTCTATCTTGATTCTACATTCTGTCAGTGACATCAAAACGCAGAAAACATCCCTGCGATTAGCGGCTAAGTGGCTTGACTTGCAGAATGCCTTCATTCGACTTTTGGCGACTTGCAGGAAAACTCGCAAAGTGGCTCTAGAACTACCCGTATATAAAATGCATACACTTTACATTATTCGATAAGCTATGAATATGGTTCGCACGGAAATGGAAATACAAATAAATTTCATGTAAATAAATATTTTTTATGAGAATTCTATACGCCTAGTTATCTAACATTCAAAGAATCCACGAACCAAAATTATAGCTCAGACCACTAAAGTACGTTCGGGAATCTTCGGGTAAGCTTGTGTCAATAAACTACCAGCAAGGTCTGCCGTGGTACGCATCGTACTGGTGTAATCCCCACACCTAAAACAATAGGCGTTGCTAGTCTTTTCTATTGTCTTTGGTCTGTTCTTTAGTGGTCTGAGATTGTGGTGAATCTGCGCGAACCATTAACACCACCTGGTCACACGAGGGCGCTAGAAACAATATGGCGGCGCCCATGACTTCACGTGTTGCAAAGACTTGGAAGTTTCAAGACGAAGAGAGACAACACTTAACACGAAATACACAACAAAATTGAAATGTGTTGTGGAAGGAGCGGTTTCTGTATATCAAGTTAATATAATTTGGTTAATTACGTGTTAGTCGATCACTAATCTGGAACTGTCGAATTGTGTTGTGTTTATATTATGTTATCGTAATATCGACATTGACGACAGCTTGTTGAACTTCAGACTCATTGTAAAAATGAAGTCACTGAAATCGATCGTTTACGTTGGTCCTGTAACCGCACTGAGAATTTATCAAGGATACATCTTGTCAGGTACGTACTGTAAAACCACAGATGGAGTCGTCGCGGAGTACGGCATTACTTTGTTGTTAGTGTATGGGAAGTTTCACAAATCTCTACAAATGTAAAAAAAAATTGTTAGCAAGGCGATTTCCCTCTTAATCATGGAGATTATCTCCACATCAGGCGAAATCACCAGATCGGGAGACAAATGTGGGTCTCGATCAGGAGACATGGACAACTCAGTGTTGCACAGTTCATCAGGTCCGTACCAACTTCCGTGTGCATGTGGAGGGAGAGGGAGGGTTGTCAACCTTGTTTTTTTCATTCCGAGAAAACTATTGTAAAATTCTTCGGATTGCAAAAAATAGAAACCCACACACCTAAGGGCTTGGGGTGATTTTTGTTTGTTTCACTCTCCTACGTAGTCTGGAATCCAGCCATTTAAGTACCATGTAACCAGTCAGTCAACACAGAATTCTGTGTCATCAATGATTGGCTGTCTCCTTGACTTTAGTACATTACCATGGAAACACACATGTGCAGACTGAATTGTACGTAAAACCAGCCACATCATCTAGTCTATTGTCTATGGTGTGTGAGATTCTTTTTCTCACATCACCACAAAAAAGATGTATATAAACTTAGTGGGTGTATTAATTCCGCATCACACACACTATCATATTCGCAGAATACAAATACCAAGCATATATAACAGATAAATAATCATACATGTTCTAAGTATATCAGGGACATGATCAACATTGTAGACAGACAGACAGACAGACAGAGACATACATACATATATATAATAATTTGTATTGAGATACTAATGTATGTATGATATTTTTACAGGTGAGGGACCTTATTTACATATATATCTTTTGAATGGCAAAGAACTGTTGACTCAAAACGTTCTTCACTGGTGTAACATACACGGTATACAAGCAGGTACGTAAACACCTTTCATGTCAATTAAAATTCATAAACTTTTTAATGAATGTTTCTCAGTTTTTCTGTTTCTTGTGCTCAATTTACAACTTCATTTTAGATCACAATGAGATGTGAAATATTTGTGTGTTTTCTCGCCTCAGGCACTGATGCAATGTTTGCAGTACACGGGCAGAAGGCATTGCGTATAGTTAAGTTTGATACAGAATCAAACAGGTAAGCCAAAAAAAAGAAAGTTGTGATTCTTGAAATCGCAACATTAAAAAATGGTGCAGTTTTAATTATTTTCATAAGATTATTCAATACCTCAGCAACATGCTGTGCTGTGATTCAACAGTTGCTGATTTACTCAATAGCTGTGCTGTGATTGTACAGCTTCTCATTAACTCAATACACTAAGCTGTGCTGTGATCGGACAGATCCTCATTAACTCAATACTCTAAGCTGTGCTGTGATCGGACAGATCCTCATTAACTCAATACACTAAGCTGTGCTGTGATTGCACAGCTTCTCATTAACTCAATACACTAAGCTGTGCTGTGATCGGACAGTTCCTCATTAACTCAATACTCTAAGCTGTGCTGTGATTGGACAGTTGCTGATTTACTCAATACTCTAAGCTGTGGTGTGATTGGACAGTTGCTGATTTACTCAATACTCTAAGCTGTGGTGTGATTGGACAGCTGGTGATTGAGTCAATACATAGATGCATGCATGATTATTTATTATTTTTAAATGTTTTTTCTTTCTTTAAGAATTGCCATGGAAACTGACATAACAGAATTTGAAGATTGGATTAAAGATGTTAAATGGTTGGAGGTAATAAATGTTGAACACACTAATATGCAAATGTTGATGTTATCTTTTCGTTGTGAAGACTGAATTGTTAAAATTATTAATGAAAACAAGAAGCAAATAGATGCTCAAATCCTAGTACTCATCACTTTTAGAAGTAAACGAGTATTATACATTACTGTATACTATTGTATGTTATTATGTGTACTATATGTCATGTGTATGTTGCTGTGTATTATGATATACCGGTACTGTAAAATGACTAAATTTCACTGGGTTTAAATTTCGCTGATTTTTCATTTCAGGCATATTCAGTGGGTTTTAATTTAGCCCATTTGCCAATCAGCGATGTAAGCGAAATTAAAACCCAGTGAATAATTAATTCTTTTACAGTACATTACTGTCTGTGTACTATGTCATATGTTATTCTGTACTATCATGTTACAGTATTATATACCGGTATGTCACCCAAGTCTGTGTCTGTGTCATATAATTGTGTCAAGTATTTCATATATTATTGTAATAGTTTGAGTGTGTTAGATTACATGGACACGTTGTCAGACAGACAGTTACATGCACAGATAGAATAATTTGTAATAATCATAGTTTAATATCATACAGGATGACATTAAACACTATTATTATATATCATAAGTTACAGCGTGCCGTAATTTTGCGGTATTTAAGCGCGTAAGCGTCCTCTAATATTAAAAACAAACATGGCTGCCATCAGGGTTTGACCCGACTCCACACAAAGAAGTTTGCTGATTCTGTTCTAAAATTTTTGGATTTCTTCATTCCCTTGATGTATTCTTGAACGGAAAAGATGTAGAATAATAAGGTTATTACGAGAATACCTCAATGTATGTACTCAGACAGATACTCCAGCTGTACTGTCTTTGTGCATACTTTGAGGTATTCTCGTAATAACCTCATATTATCTTATTTCATACCAAACTAAAGTAAATATTGTGACTAATGAACAATAACAACAAATTAAAAATGTAGCTGCTACTACTGAAAGCAGAGTAGAGGGCATTAAACTTGACTCTATCCTTTGTAGGATTCAGGACATCTGGCTGTGGCCCTTGCTCACAACTCTGTTGCATTGTGGGATTGGAAGATGTCAAAGGTCATATCTCATGTACATTGTGAAGACAAATGTATTCTGTATCCTTTTTGAGGAAATTTTTTACCCAATAACCATTTTTGATAATTTATATCAGTGAGGATTTATAAGATGAGGAACTTTGATATTTGTGTACGAAGACATATGAAGAGATGATATGGAATAGATTATCACATATTTAAAAACATGCTCATACCGTAATTCCCAGAGTATAAGCCCAGGGGCCTGAACATGTAAAATCGGAAAAAATAAGGGGTGGGCTTATACTCAAGGACCACCTCAGAAAAAATAATTTTTTGGTGCGTTTAAAACGGTAACCATCTCCCCAGCCTCAAAACATTATCCAAATTTTTGGTTCACAGCGCCGGTCTCAGAGGAGTATTACGTCTTTTTGAGAAAACAAAAATGCGAAACGAGCGTCATTGATTTCAACGACGCTTTTTACAATGAAGAAACAAATATGAACAAAAAACAAACAAATTTATCACAATACGGTTCACATACCGTCTAAATTTACAGTGCAGGGTCTGTGGGGAAAACGGTCGAAAGGCAAGATCGTATGCAAACTCTCGATACAAAGCTATTTCCGTCATGGTTTCATCATAATTTGACCTGAACAACTTCCTTTGACCTAACAGGTCACGTCTTTCTTAACCAATGAAAATGCTCTGTCATACAGTCGAAGTTTTCCATTATTGAAGAAGTATTTTTATCAACACGATGCAGGAAGTGTATTACCGCGACGTTAAAATGCGATCTGTTAACACTGATTTCAACAAAAAAACGATGATTTTTTTCCCTAAAAGCTGTTGATTCGCAATTTTCGAAAGGTAAACTGAGGGTGAGGGAAGTATTTAAACCTTTCACGGCCGTTTGCTTGTTCACACCCCATTCACGATAGTCTCAATGGACAAGATTATTCGGAAAAGTAAAACGATGATAGTGACCAGGTTTCAGGACTTGACGATCACATTTTGCCGTTTGGAAAACTACTACTCAAAAGAAATATTGATTATTTCAGTATTGCAACATCGGGGTTCATCTCGAGTAAATAACAGAATAGAAAACATGCGAACTATGTACATTCGCCCGCCGTGCACTCTGAAATTACAGCCAAAACAAGGTCAGCTTGGACGTTCAGTTGCGAGACATAACAAAAAAAACACAGCCAGTGATACATTTTGAAAATAAAAATACAAAATAAACGCAATCGGAGGCGCCGACCACGCGTGTTGGTAGTAAATAAAACGCGTTGTGACACAGTCTCACCAGCCTCTTTCACCAACACAATATAATTATGGTATTTCCCAACGCACTTATATTTAATACATTGACAAAAAACACCACAAGAAAAATGTAAATCAAACTTGTAATTACTAGTAACTCAACTCGAATGCAATATTCATCACTTTAAAAGTGGAAAAATTCGAACCAGCCATACCATGACCGGAGATGTCCGCTCGTCTTCGTTGATAACTCGCCAATTCACCATAATCGTGGTGGTGAACTGTTTAGCTGATTTTTTTAAAAGATGGACATTCAATTCATATTCATCCCAACTTATTTGAATATTCTTTCGGAAATTTGAGACATTGTTCAAAAAATCCTGTACAGTTATATGTCTGATGTCAACTAATAATACGCAAATATCCAGGCAGTACTAGAAATTATTGCTGATAGTAAACATGTTTTGTACATATTGGGAAGTTGGATACTTGAACGTATAGTCCCCGGGGGTGTAGTAGACGAGCTTAATCGTACTGTCACATGTTTTTCGTCTTAGCCTTGTCTTTTCGTCTTAACCGTCGCAGTCTGCTTCATTGAATATTTAGTTTGATAATTTATAAACATATATTCAGTGTGAGACTGTTGCTTTCAAGTTGTGTTAATACAAAGATGATTTAAACTTGTCCCTTCTGTTACCAACGTATTCAATATACGGAAATAGCATGTGTGTGTGTTTGTGTGAGTGAAAGATGCAGGTGAGATTTCTCGTCGCAACATGTTCTATTTATTTCCAACGCGCGTGGTCGGTGCCTTTGATTGCATTTATTTTGTTCTTTCATACTCGAAATCTATCGCTGGCACCGTTTATTTTGTCATGTCACACAACTGAACGTCCAAACTGACTTTGTTTTGGCTGTAATGCACATTTTCTCGTAAAAGCTGGAACCAAACTACCGTTCCAATCATGATTTTTATGCAATGAAATACACTTTTTACATGCATATTTTAATAAATGTCCTCAACGCCTGGTAAAAACACCCTGGGCCTATACTTGAGGATGCCCTTAACTCGTTAAATGTCCAAAAACAGAAGGGTGGGCTTATACTCGGGGAGGGGCTTTTACTCGGTAAGTACGGTAAGTAAGTACGGTTATACATGTTTTTAAAAAAAGTGATGATGCAAGCAAAAAGATTTCTCGCTATCTGCACATTTTCACAAGCCCATATACCTCTCAATAGACTATATAGTGAGTTCTAACAACATTACAAAGGCTGAATGTCACTTTAATATTTCTAGAATTGTGTATTTTTCAATCTTTGAGAGGGGAAATGAACATGGCGTTAAGATGATATCTAGTTTAGAGTTTAGTTCTATATTCTTGAGGGCGGAGGTATGTCACAGAACATTCTATTTTGCTAAGATGTGCACCACTGTACCATGTATTTATATGGGCTTTGTGCGAGCTGCTGTGGAACACCGGTCGAAGAGCCGGTGAAACCAGCTAAAGTCAATCAACTCAGAAGTAATCCCAAGCAGCCATATTTATACATGTTACGCATGTAGGGCTAATCTTGTTACACTGTTCAGGAGAGTCTCAACAACCATCCCAAAGCACAATCTCCTTCTGTGTAGTTGTCTG